TCTCTCTCTCTCTCTCTCTCTCTCTCTCTCTCTCTCTCTCTCTCTCTCTCTCTTTCTCTCAAGACAGATTACATAAAGCCCGCTTTTGTTTTCGATATAATGGCGAAAACCAGAATGAAATGGAATTTTAGTTGTAATATTTATCAAAGAAGTTGCCAGAATTGATTCTGTGTAATTTACTGATGCAACGATCTTGAACTAATTGTAAAGCGGATTGCAAACTAATTCTTAATTTTTGAATGCTAGAATTAGTGTTGAATTAGTGTCTTTTTACCGCAATTGTCAGCAATCCTGCTTCTTTCCTTTTTCCATTGAGAAAATGAAAAGTATAATTCCAACGTCAGTCGTGTGTCAATGAATATTGGGACGTTTGATTATTTATTATTCTCAAAGTTGTAAAATATTAACAGCAACCGATAAGCTAAAAGAAACTTTCATTTGCGTGATATTTTTTGCTTCTATCCGCCTAAAAATACAAAATAAAAATTTCTCGAAGTTTGCAAAGTTTCTGGTATATGAAGAGAGATACAAGACAAGACACTTAATACGACAATATTTTTTATGTTTCAGGCTGAATTTGCTCCACAATATAATTAAGACAATATTTATAACATTCATCTTATGGATACTTTATAGAAAAAATATCCTATCCAATATCGCAAACGCAATCGCTTATATATTCTATATAAATATCTGAGGGTTACTCCAGAATTATTTACACCTGCTAATAGGATGCAGCATTTTTTATTTAATTAATGATTGAGATATCTCAATTATTAATAAAAAAAAATCATTTTCGACATCATCACTTATTGGCTATGGTTATAGGTAAAAAGATAGGGAGAAAACGTTTGTATTACTTATGTTCGATATATCCAATATTTTGCTCATGGTGACTTGGCTCATGGTGATGTTGGCAAGTAAGAATACATAAATACTATAAACTGCAACATGTGAAATAAAACACATCGCATTACAGTAATTGGTAATCACATTTTATTGATGTCGTACCTATTCCGCCTTCTTACCGAGAAATGATCGTTGGTCTAAAATTGCATATGGAGATATCATTATGGTCTCATGACTCTATATCCGAGCGTGTATTAGATCGATAGGCAACCACATTTTATCGTTGTAAAGAGGAACATTATGGGAAGCATTGAAAGGCATCGAAGTTCTCAGTTAGTACATGAAAAAAGAAAAATAAAATTATTCAGATTCACAAAAAAAACTTGGCACGCCCGGATGACGTTAAGATGCGCGCGCGCGCACATTAAAGAATTCTAAAACATATTTCATTTCACAGTAAGATTATAAAATACTTGTAGGTAACATTGAAATAGTTATTGCAATCCGGACGCGCCAAGTTTTTTTTATGAATCTGAATAATTTTATTTTTCTTTTGTCGTGTACTTGGTCATTTCAAATACAAGTTTGGAATTTGGAATACGATATAGTTACGATATAGTTACGATATTTACATAGTTACTTGGTGCGAATTTCCTGATATCATTAATTTTGTAGTAGAAGAGTACAGTTTGTTGTAGGAATAATTTTTTAATATAATTGTTTGTACAGATTATTTAGTATTATAATTTTTTTTTTACGGAGCGCGGAAACTAGACGCTTCTTTTACCTTTTTTTAAAAGGTAAGTTTTTGGGGATTAATATTTCGTCTAGTCATGCCAACGTTAAAGGATCCTTTGAAAAGCTGATTGAATAATTTTAACGATCCAGTGGCACTGTTTGTCGGCAATGGAAAAGCAGTGGTGAAATTGCTGCACGAGTCTCTATCTACGTCCTACAACTATGTGCCGATCGATATCGTCATCAAGGTTTTGATCGTAGCAGCGTGGGAGCATGGATCGAAAATAATGTGTTTGTATTATATTAAACAAGTATTATATAGTGTTGTAAAAATCACTACGATAATCCAAATAAAAGAACAACGGAAAGTTTTAATACTGCGATATTTCTCGTCAAACGCGTAATTAATTTACAAATTATTTATTGTATAAAATCATATCATTCGTGTTTTAATCACAAACTAGCCGTTCTTAACAATTAAAATCCTATTGCGAACACATTACGTCTTTCTTTTCTATCCTAAGTTTTCATCCGAAAAGGACTCTCGTCAGCAACATGCAAGACAACCTTCCCGTAGTGTATAATTGTATAATTGTATAATTGTATGTGTATAATTGTACGGGTAATCACACTATGAGACCGGGGCGAGATCTGATATTTAAGATTAGTACGCTTACTTCGAAGAAGATTCCTTTCCAAGGAATGATCTGGGCCCCCAGCGTAATAATGATATGAAATTAATTTTTGTATCACCTGTTGGTGATAGTGTTGATTGACATCCTGATTTATTGATGGATTGCTATCATTATCAGGCCAACAACCGAGATGCGAACTAAACTTCTTGCGTTTTTTGGTATATCGATCTTGCACGCATGATTGAGAATGTATTCGTGTATATGTATATATATATATATATATATATATATATATATATATATATATATATATATATATATATTATAATCCCTTTCTTAAAAAATAAAATTTTTTCCTATCTATATATATATTTTTTTTTAGCTATATTTTATCTTTATATATTTTTATTTTCTATATATTTTTTTTCTTTTTCGTTTGATAATAAGAAATACATCGATTGAGAATTCTATGATACGTTAGTGGCATGCGCGAGAAAAACTTCTTATTATCATTATCTTTTCTAAGAATATACGAAGACAAAATAGTATATATATATTTTTTTTTCTTTTGTGTACTTTTTTTTGTTGACAATAGATATGTTAAAAGATTAGATAGATATATGTGTAGATATGGGTACGCGTGGATAATCATATTCCTAGATAGATGGAAACGGACGATGGATTTCGGTCGTCAAGGTTGCTTGGCCGAGCATGATAAGCTCGTCTTTAAAATTTACCAATCCGAAATGATTAGTCTTTTTCAGATGCAAATCGACGTCTGCTGTCTTTTCTCCCAAAAGTTTCTTGATACGGATCCAACCCTCTTCTTCTTCGGTTAGGAGTTTCGTAAACTCACGTGTTTCCTTGGACCAATATGTGTTGCTATCGACGGGTTTCCGTTAATTAGTTTCTAGTTCTGTTTTCCTGTCGTGGAATAATGTGTGATATTCGAAGCCTGTTAGGATACACAATACGACTGTTCTTTTTCAGTTTGATTTTGACGTTATTCCTATTTAATATTTCGATGACTTCGTGAGGTCCTATATTGATCGCCAAATTTTCCAGGTTTTGCCTCTTTCAATAAGAATACATAATCTCCTGGTTTAAATGTTTGTGGGTTAATCTTTTTGTCGTAATGAGATTTAGATTTGTTCTTGGCATCGATAAGATTAGCTTGAGTTTGCATTTTATGTAGTCGAGTGAATAACTGTACCAGATAATCGTCGTATGTTCTTATTTTATCGTCTTCGAGTAGGGGTTTGGTCGAAGGTATTCGAGCAGGTCTACCGAAAACTAATTCATACGGAGTATGTTTGGTTCCTTCATGTACGCTAGTATTATAGTTCTGCACATCCAGGTCTATCCATTCATCCCATTCTTTTTCAGTGCTGACGAATTGCTTTAAATATTCTCCGAGTGCGTGATGAGATCTTTCTAAGGATCCGTTCGACTGAGGATGAAAGGCAGTTATTCGAAATTTTGGTATTTTGTAATATCTTGCCAATTTTTTCATTAGGTCGCTAATGAAATTTCGCCCTTGATCGGTGAATACAACTCGGGGTGGTCCAAAAATGGCGATAAATCTTTTCACAAATTTGTCGGCTATTGTTGCGGCTGTTTGGTCTAGCAATGGTACGGCTAGGCTGAATTTACTAAATTGATCCTGCATTGTAAGAATATATTTATTTCCTATCTTAGTACGTGGTAGTGGTCCAATTACATCCATGGCTATTTTATCGAATGTCCATCCTGGGGTGTCGGTTATTGCCATTGGCTGCTTGGTTTTCATCCGAACTAATTTCTTCAATTGACATTGTAGACATTGCTGAATATATTGCCGAATATCTTCTTTTAGGTGCTCCCAGTAATAGTTTTGCCGTATTCCATTGTAAGTTTTGGTAACTTCCCTGTGTCCTCCTACAGGTGTACTGTGCATTTCTTGAAGGATTGCAAGTCGTGTATCCTTAGGTGGGTACTTAATTAGTCCATTGCAGAAGATTATCCGCACATCTGAGCCAAACATCCTGTCTGGAATTTGGTTTTAATATCGTTCCAAGGGACGTTCAATACGTATTCGCTTTTGGCGACACTTATATTAGCAAGTTTCAGGTTTTCAGCAGTTTTTCGTAGATTAGTAATTCCTTGGTTTATATTGTTTAGGATCATAGTAGGTCCTTCTTGTTGATCCTTACTGATAGGCAAAATGATGTGATATCTTTTGTGTCTTTTTACTAATTTTGTAATTCCCAGCGATAAGCCCGTTAATTTAAGTATTTCTTGTCGTTCAAATAGTTTAAGGGCACCGGAGTCTAAAGGATTTCCTAAAATATCGGTGAAATATAATAAGTTATCCTTGCGTAAAAAATGCAAATCTCTCAACTCAACAAGGTTGCTTGTTCTGGTTTGGATGTCGATAATACGAGGTTTCCTTATAATGATAGTGGATGATTCATCTCCGCTTTCGTCGTCCGTGTCCACAGGTAGCGGCCTAGGAGGTATGTTGCTTTTCCTTATCTCTATGCCTGCGTCAGATGTACTTATTTGTGTATTTTGGCTGGCTCGGCTGCGTGTCAACATAGGCCGTTGAGCCTCGCTATCGTCCATTTGTTCTCTGATTTCTTGACCACCTGATTCGGGCGTGTGGTCTAACACCTCTGTTATCTGAGTTATAAGAGGTTCCGCTGATTCTTCTGAAGTAAATGATATAATATCTGTGGGAGAATTTTCGGGCAATAGTTAATCATCAAGTTTGTACTGTAAGTGTCCTCATTGTCTGATTCTTCAGTATCTTTCTCTTCAAGTAAGTGTCGGATAGTCTCGTATCGGTTGGGTTTAACTTTGGGATTAATTATCTTACAATATTCTGTTGAGATATCCACCGGATTTCGCGATAAGGCATCAGTGTTTACATTTGTTTTACCGGACTTATAGACTACTTCATATTCGTATTCTGCTAATTTTAGTCTCCAGCGAAGTATTCGCATGTTCGCATGTTCGCATCCTGAGTGTTTTTGAACCACATTAAAGGTTTGTGATCTGTTACAAGTGTGAACTTTCTTCCATACAGATATGGTCTGAAATGTTTAACGCAATATATAATTGCTAATGCTTTCTTTTCGTAAGTGTCGTACTTTAATTCATTATCGCTCAATGTACGAAATGCGTACGCTATTGGTTGATCCTTGTTAATGACTCCTTAAGATAATATTCCGCCTATTGCATAACCTGAAGCGTCGGTAGTTAATATAAATGGTTTCAAAAAATCTGGATACTGTAAGATCGGTTCTTTGCAAAATTCGTTTTTAAGAATATTGAACGACTCTTGTCTAGGTATAGCTTCCGGAATGGAGCCGTGTCTTGAATCAGCGATATGTCGACGTTTCGCAAACCTTGCAGTTTGCATCATCAGGGCAAACTGCAACATTTGCGAAACGTCGGCATATCGCTGATTCAAGACACGGCTCCATTCCGGAAGCTATACCTAGACATTGTATCAATGGCCGTGAAAGCCTTAAATCTAGTATTGAACGACTCTTGTTGTGCGTACCCCCATTGGAATGGGGTCTCAAGTTTCAATAACTGTGTCAAAAGTCGTGTTAATTTTGAAAATTCCGGAATGAATCTCCTGTAGTATCCGGCCAGTCCTAGAAATTGCTTGACGTTTTTCCGCCTTTTTGGCGTTGGAAATTCGCGTACCGCTTCAAGTTTTTTCGGGTCAAGCTTAACGCCCTTACTGCTAATTACGTGTCCCAAATAACTGACTTCCC